AAACATGTCAACATAAAAACATCTTAAACATGGTGCTGGCGTTAGTGATTCTAATTTTCCTGCCTCAAATCCTTATGCAACTAGCCATATGTCTTATCTGTTTTTCTTTCTTTCTTTTTTTTTATTGTGAATACTGTACAGAGAGGTTACAATTACATGGGCAAGATAATGAGTACATTTCTTATCAAGCATTGTAGCCTCCTCCTTTGTTTCCCTTTCCCATCCCTTCCCATCCTCCCCCTTTTCTGCCTCCCAACCAATCTGTTTTTCTTTCAGTTAGGCAGGAATACTTCTCTTGGAGTCCATGAATGGACTTCATTAAGTTTGTGAACCTTTTATACAATTTGTAAGCTATTTTTTCTGCACACCTGTGTATATGTTTTCATATCATAACCACATTCCCCAGTGGGTTTTCCCAAACCTTACAAAGTATTCTGATGAACACTTGGATAAGCTAGGGAAGACTCATATTCCTTGAACCTGCCACATTGATTTGAACCCTTTCTATCCTCATCTGTCCCTGATTTCCTCCTATATGCTTTGTCCTGAATTAAAGTAACAATGAGAGAATTTAGCAGGAAGTAAATGCTACACCTCATGTGGCAGCTTAGTGTAATTCGGGCTATCTTTGGAGTGTAGAGCACCTCACTTACCATTAGTGTTTACTCTACCTACTCTTTCTCAGTCTTTTTTTAATTTTAATTAACAAGAGTGATTTTAAAAATTTATCTTTAAGAGTTGCCATTTAACAAGGCAGTTTACAATATATCTTGATCAATGTCACCCCTTTCAATATTCTCATCCATCCCTCCCCTCCTCACCCCTTCCCTCACTCTTCTTAATTTTGTAGGATGTACATTGGATTCTTGTCTGCAGATTCTTTCGCAATCATTGTCTAAAACCTTTCGCAAACCGATTATTTTAAAAATACTTAAAATGTCCCTAAATCTCCCTTCTCAGTAGGATCAGAGCTCAAAGTGAACTGAGAATTTGTGTTTTGGTAGCCTCATTATTCAGAGTAATAAATTTATTCCATTTTGCAAGTGGCTATTTTTTTTTCTTTTCTGCTATTTTAAGCTCAGTTATGAGTGGTAAGATGATGAAGAGTCTGTTGTTGATGCCAGGCTTTCAATCTTGAATTAATCCCATTGCTACTGATCTTCTCCCTGGGTGATTTAACGTTGGCTCCTAGCTATATTATTTATGAAGAAGCTTTATTATCCTTACTGATCTGGCTGTATTCCTCCTACTGCAGCAAAACTTTTCTAGTAATATTCTTAGTAGTTTTGAAATGGACAAACTTCATTTTCACTCGATAATGTATTTATTACTGTAGGTCTCTAAGTTTCAATATTGCTCAGTCTTCTCCAGTACCATTTTGTTAGTCCTTGTAGTGGGGATTTGCTGGCATATCAAGCCAACGAATCATTTAAAGTTTGATTTCCCTTATGCTTTAATATAAGGAAGATCTTGTTCCTTTTATCTTTTTTTCCCTTCCCTGCCTCTGTCCCCCCATTCTTCCCTTCCTCCCTGCCTCCCTCCCTCCCTCTCTTCCTTCCTTCCTTCCTTCCCATGCCAGTACTGGAGCTGGAACTCAGGGTTTGGGCACTGTTACAGAACTTTTGCCCAAGGCTAGTGCTCTACCATTTGAGTCACACCTCTATTCCTAGCTTTTTGCTGCTTAATTGGGGATAAGAGTGTCATTTGCTTTCTTGCACGGTCTGGCTATTAACCTTGTACCTCACATCTTGCCTCCTAGCTAGGATTATGGGTATGAGCCACCAGTGCTTGGCTGAAAGATGATTTTTTAAAAAATCAAGATAAAATGGTGTGACTCAAGAAACTGAAATATAGGCCACTGGATGTATGCAAACAAACCAAGTGGCCATTTTGATGGAATACTATTAGGCAAGATTTGAGCATCATAGTTTAAGTAGATCCTCACATAAATATTTTCCACCCCGAGATTTGTTGTTTAAGCTAAAACTTACTCAGAACAAAGTGCATGATTATGTCATAGCAAAGATGATTGGTAATGATGACGTGAATGGGGAATGTCTTCTTCGTTAGGACTGCAAAGCAAGCCATGGCTTCCCATCTCTTTCTTCATTTAACTCTAAAAACAATCATACACAATTTCAACTCTCATTTTTCCCTATTTGATAGGCAAGAAAGGTGAAGTTTAGAGAGAATTTTGAATTTCCCTTGTCACAGAAAAGTGGAATTAAGATGAAGAACTCTGTCATCTCTTACATTTCTGAATTACACTGCTTTGCTGATCACTTAACACTATTAAAGGCAAACAAACCAACCCAAATAGAATATAGATGTGTATATATATGTATATATATACATATATATGTATATATGTGTGTGTGTATATATATATATATTTTTTTTTTGATCCGGTCGTGGGCCCTGAACTCTGGGTCTGGGTGCTGTCCCTCAGTTCTTCAGCTCAAGGCTAGTGCTCTACCACTTGAGCCACAGCACCACTTCCAGCTTTTTTCTTTTTGCTTATGCGGTGCTGAGGACTCGAACCCAGGGCCTCCGGTATGCAAGGCAAGCGCTCTACCACTGAGCCGCCTTCTCAGCCCTATATATGTTATTTGTATATATGTATATATTCTATTTGGTGCTAGTACTGTGCTTTAAACATAGAACCTAGGCATTCTTGCTTGTTTGGCTTCTTTCAAGACTGGCACTCTACCACTTGAACCATAACTCCATGTCGGGCTTTTTTGTGTTTAATTGGAGATAGTAAAAGACTTGTGTACTTTCCTGTCCAGGCTGGCTTTGAACCCATGATCCTCATATCTCAGCCTCTTGTGTAGCTAGAATTATAAGCATGAGCCACCAGCAACCAGAAGAAAGATGCCTCAGAATGCACCTTTTTCTTCCTGTTCCTGCATCTTCTTTAGTATCTGAAGTCACAATAGAAGTAGCAAGGCCAGACAGTTTTCCATAGAAAATTAACAAAGCCGCTTAACTCACATTGATTCTGACCCTTTGCTAGCCTTGCTTCTTTTTTTATACTTTGTTTTCTTTGCCATAGCCCCACCATTGCAGTGATGTCAGCTAGTTTCTATAAGAGTGGATTCATCTTTAACTCTAATGCCTATCTGCCAGTTTCTTCACACTTTCACTTAAAAATGTGTCCAGTTTGCTTGTCATTTACTGAATTGGTTAAAAGTTAGACTTTATGAGTGATATGAGATTCCTGGCTGCTAATAAAAGGTTACCATTTACTGACTGTAAATTGTGTTTCAAGCCTCTCTCTATGGATGATCACACAGAGTTCTTGTTTGTACAGATGAGGAAACTGAGGCAGTGAGAGGTTTCCCCAGGCCATGGGTGGGTAGTCATGCAAGAGACTGAGAGGGATTTCCATAAAGCCTGGACGTAAACCAGGTGTGCCCTTTAAGCTATATTCAGGGGTATTTGCCATCCACCGTGCACATGACTACTTTTACAGCCAGGTTATAGCTTAATGTACTGAGATGATCTGATCATATTTTTTCTTTATATAGGTTTAAGGCAGCAGAAAAATTCTCTTTTCATGTTGCATGCAACCTTTTTGTCGGATGAGACATGACCTTATTTTTCTCCTCTGATCTTGAGTTATGAAAGAGGTTGTTAAAATGAATGATGCCCTGCCAGTGTTGCCTCTTTCTCCTGAAGCCTGACCTTAAATTAGTTTATATTTCTGCCAATGTGAAGGATATTTGGATAACAAGGGCATAAATTATGATATGGGATAAATGTTATTTCTGATTCTAGTTACTTCTCAAAGTTATGAATAATAAATCAGGGAGACATGATAGGTTCAAGTATGACAAATTATCTTCTTGGGATTCAAAAACATGATTTTTAATTCAAAGGTAGTTAATGCTCATTAAAGATAAAAGGGAAAATAAAGGATAATCAGAAGGATGGAAATCACAGCTCTTTCACTCTAAGTTATTTTAAAAAATGTTGATGCAGCTGAACAGCAGTGGCTCACGCCTGTAATCTTAGCTACTCAGGAGGCTGAGATCTGAGGATCACGGTTCAAAGCCAGCCTGAGCAGGAAAGGCTGTGACACTCTTACCTCCAATAATGTGATGGCTCAGGTGGTAGAGCGCTCGCCTTGAGCTGAAGAGCTGAGGGACAGCGCCCAGGCCCAGAGTTCAAGCCCCACGATCGATAAAAATAAATAAATAAATAAAAATGTTGATGCATTACAGGCTTATGACTGTAATCCTAGGTACTTAGGAGGTTGAGATCTAAGGATCATGATTTGAAGCCAGCCTGAGTAGGAAAGTCTGTGAGATTCCTATCTTTAGTTAACCAGCAAAAAGCCAGAATAAGAACAGTGCTCAAGTAGTAGAGCATGAGTAGTAGAGCAAAAAAAAAACCAAGGGGGAGCATCTAGGCTCTGAATTCTAACCTCAATTTAGGCACCAAAAGTAAAAAGAAAAAAAATTACTTTCTTCTAGCATTTTGATGCATAAAGTATTCTTTTGTCATTAGTAGTTATATCTAACTATCTAACTATATCGATCTATAATTTAACACTGATTGCTTTGTTTGTTTGTTTTTGTTGTTGGTTGGGGCTGGGGCTTGAACTCACAGCTCCACTTCCAGTTTTCTGGTGGTTAATTGGATATAAAAGTCTCATGAACTTTCCTGCCTGGGCTGGCTTTGAACTATGAGCATCACATCTCTACCTCCTGAGTAGCTAGGGTTATAGACGTGAGCCACCAGTGCTCGGCATAACTTTAGCTTATAACTCATACATAAAACATAAAAATTGTACCCATTTATGAGGTACCTTGTGATATTCCCATGGGTATATGTGTGTACACACATACACTGTGTAAGGCGTTAAAGTCTTCCTCTGTGGTCTTGAAGATGCAAGGTGCAGCTATACTCAGTGTGAGGAGTGAGACAAGACAAAGGTCACCCCATCATCGTTAAACTTTATTTCAGGCCTGTTCGACACTGCTTTTCTCTTGCAGGTACTTGGAGCTGGAAAGCAGTGGCCACCGCAATGAAGTGAGACTGCACTACCGCTCCAGCGGCCACCGGCCCCACACAGAGGTGTTCCCTTATATTCTGGCGGATGACAAGTGGCACAAGTTCTCCTTAGCCATCAGTGCCTCCCATTTGATTTTACACGTCGACTGCAATAAGTGAGTGAAAGGGGCTCCTTCCTGGAGATGGATGTTTCTAGAAAAGGACTTGTCTGCTCACGGTCCTTCTCTGCTGGTTCCCTTTTTGCAGAATTTATGAGCGAGTGGTGGAAAAGCCCTCCACGGACTTGCCTCTGGGCACGACATTTTGGTTGGGGCAGAGGAATAACGCTCATGGATATTTTAAGGTATTGCTTGGAGGGAGTCTGAGCATGAAGTATAAATGCAAATGCTTTTAATGGACTTAGAGAAGTTTCTTGCATTCTCTGTGGCGTGGAAAAATTCAGTTTGTAAATTGGTATCTAGTTTTGCTTGTTCTCTATTTCTCTTTGTCAATACTGATATTTATCAGGCCAAATAACTCATCCAGTGAGTGGGTTTGATCTTTAAACATCCCAATCACAGCCTAGTGGGACAATTACCATGACATTCTTGAGATTAAGCATGCCAAGTAATAACAATCTAAATGTTAACATAGAAATACACTCTCCATCACCAAAATATAACCTTTAGTGATTGATTTATAGGGACGTTAACAACTGAGGATTTGAAGCTGTTCAATATTAATTTTTTTCATAGTTTCATTGTACTCCAAAAATTGGAAAAAGATAAACATTTGGATGAACCTCTCCCCATGACAAACGCTCACAATTTCCTTGTGTACTTAGAAACCATCACAGAAATTCATCACTGGGGAAGATCAAAGGGCATCTGTTTAACTTTCCAGTTTGAAGGACAAACAAGTAAAGTCCAGAAGTTTGCTATGTGCAGGCCCCCACTGGCTACAGCACTGTCTGTAGGAGTGGCTCCGCAAATAGCTCTTTAGTCAGAGAATGCTAGTGGATCTCTGATTCACGCATTTCATGGGAGAGTAGGCAGTCAGTTTAATCCTGTGTTTTAACCGAACCTTGCAATTTTACCAAGGTACTTTTATAACTTACTTAAATGTCATTTCATTGAAACCAGTGCTTTCTTTCTTTGTGTGTGTGTGTGCCTGTACTGGAAGGCTTGAAGTCATGACCTGGATGCTGTCCCTGAGCTTTTTTGCTCAAGTCTATTACCACTTGAGCTACAGCTCCACTTCTGGCTCTTTGGTTGTTAACCGGAGAGAAGAGTTTTACAGATTTTCCTGCCTGGGTTGCCTTTGAAATGGGGGATCCTCAGCTCTCCGCCTCCTGAGTAGCCAGAATTACTGGCGTGAGCCATTGGCACCCAGGAACCAAGTGCTTTAAGTATATGATTCCACCAAATCCCTAGGCTTGCTAGTATTAATTGCTAACATGTATTAATGACTCCTAGTATTAATGACTAATTATTAATGTAGGGTTCCTTTCTCCTCCTATACATATGCATCAACATGTTCAGAGAGTAATTTTCTCAAATCCAGGCAGGTAGTAAGTGAATAGCTGATTCCATGGGTATAAATCTTAAATAGCCCCATGTTCTCTTTCCATGGAAGAAATGGCCAGGTGTGCTGTGACTTCCACATTGTCCTCTGTTTAATTGTGATCATATTTCCCATGGACCCCAAGGCAAGCCTTCAAAGTCAGCATCAAGTTTGTGTCTCTGTCTAGGGGCCATCATCTTTACTGTAAGCTGGGAGTAGAATCTTCGAGAGTTGTACTAGGCACAGATTCTATATACAAGTGTGCCAGGTATTCTTGTTTTCGTGTTGCTGCTTTCAAGTGTCAGGATTTTATATCCAAGTTACCTCTTCATTTCAAACACATCTAGTAATCGCCATACTGTATGCACAAATATTTGTTGACACATGCTGTTAAATCAGATTTAGCATGTAGAAGACCTACCAGTATTTGGCTAGTACATTTTTATTAGTAAATTCAAAATTGTCTTCCTAACACGTTGATATGGTCATTCCTGTCAGATATTCTGTTTGTATTTTTTTTTCAGAGAGATAAAGTGGAATCTCCATTAAAGAAGTATCACTTCAAGAAAGTACATGTTCTCAGTGGAAAAGCACTTGCATGGCAAGTGCAAGGCCCTGAGTTCAGTCCTCAGCTCTGCAAAGCAATTAAATCAAGTTAAATGTAAAAATTAAGAGAAAAGAAAGTATATAAAATTGATGAGGGAAGAAGGGGTTTGGTATATGAGTGTGCCTGAGAGTGCTTTGCTTTAAAAGACCAGCAAGCTGCAAGCTAGGTACACCTTAATGGCTGAGGTTACATGTAAGTTTCGCTTATAAACACATGAAGTCTTCTGTGGGTTGTTGCAGCTGACATTACAAAAATGTTAGCCAGGTGTCCGTGGGTCGTGCTTGCAATTTTAACTACTCAGGAGGCTAAGATCTGAGAATCGCCAGTTTAAAGCCAGCCAGGACAGGAAAGTCTGTGAGACTCTTAACCCCAATTAACCACCAAAAAGCCAGAAGTGGAGGTTTACCTCAAGTGAAAAAGCCTAGATTGAATAAAGCTCAGGGAAATGCTCAGGCTTTGAGTTCGAGCCACAATACCAACACACACACACACACACACACACACACACACACACACACACACGCACGCGCACGCGCGCATGCACACACAATTTTCTGTATTCTCTGAGCTCATCACTCATATTACTGCTGTTGAATAAATCTGTTGTCTTTCTTGAATTGACAAATTAGTTTTAAATAATCTCACTGGAAAATAAGAATTACTCAAGTAAGCCTTGCTTTCATGACTCAGTTTTTCTATCCCTTTCTTTTTTTTGGGGGGGGGGAGGAGTTGTCTGGTCGTGGGGCCTGAACTCTGGGCCTGGGCACTGTCCCTCAGCTCTTCAGCTCAAGGCTAGCGCTCTACCACTTGAGCCACAGTGACACTTCTGGCTTTTTTTCTTTTTGCTTAGGTGGTGCTGAGGAATCGAACCCAGAGCCTCATGCATGCAAGGCAAGCGCTCTACCACTGAGCCACCTTCCCAGCCCCTATCCCTTTCTTTTTAACCATTAGTTAAGTTAAAATTGGTTGCAGTTCCTGCTGAAAGCCAAAAGTAATTTTCAGGTTCATTCTTAAAGGTCATTTTCAAGCCCTACTTCTGTGACTAGCTGAAATTAACTTCTCAAAATAACAGGACTATGGTCACTTAATTATATCTTGACATTTAATCTTAAAGCTAAAAATATTATCAGTAAGAGATGACATGGGTAATCATCTATTTTGCCAGATGAATTTTCTTCCCTTGGTTTGAAGTAGAAGTAATATATTCAACAAGATTCCATACTCAGGGATTTTGGTAGGTCTACCTTTTGCAAATCTGACTGTGGAATGTAATTTGGTTAAATGAAAAGAGTATATCTTCTAAATTTTATTTTTCATGTACAGGGTATAATGCAAGATGTGCAATTGCTTGTCATGCCCCAAGGATTCATTGTTCAGTGCCCAGATCTTAACCGCAGTAAGTCTATTAGTACTTGCTCTATGTGCTGTGATAAAGCGTGTGCTTCTTGCTTAATTTTGTTGAGAATATCAGTTTGAAATTGGAGTTCACCCAGAAGGATATGTCAGCATAGACTTAATCACCCTGACCCCCTTATAAATACAATGTGATGAATGTTGTGTTTGTTAATTCCAGCCTGTCCAACTTGCAATGACTTCCATGGACTTGTGCAGAAAATCATGGAGCTGCAGGATATATTAGCCAAAACATCAGCAAAGGTAAGCTCCTCAGAAATGCGATGAGAGAACTCAAACATCCTTGTGATTCCTAATAGTTCTTTTTGGTTTTAAAAAATATAATTTCTTTTGTGCCTGTGCTGAAGCTTGAACTCAGGGCCCGGGTGCTGTTTTGTCAGCTTTTTGACTGAAGGCTATCTGCCGCTTGAGCCACAACTTCACTTTTGGCTTTTTGCTAGTTCATCGGAGATACGAGTCTTATGAACTTTCACGCCTTCATTTTGAACCAAAATCCTTAGGTCTCGACCTCCTGTGTCACTTGGATTACTGGTGTGAGCCACTGGTCCCCAGCTCCTTAATAGTTACTGTGAAGCCATTGACTTTCACCTTGGAGACATCCTATACCATAGTGTTTACTAAGACAGAATCGAATTCTTTGTTCAAGGAAAAGACATAAATATTCAAGCCCTAGCCCTATGTGCAACAAATGACTTGGTAAATCAGGAATGAAGCAGATTACCTGCTTTATACACTGCTTCTTACAACAAGAGTTATTGTTTAGTTTAATTTATATTATTTGTTTCTGTTTAGCTGTTGATTATGAGCACAGAGGTCACAAGACAGTGAAAATAACATGGGCATAATAATTGTGTCTAGAAACTTCTTCCACATGTGATTTCTAACAGTATGTCCTAGTCCGAGATTTGCTCACAGATATTTTAAGCATGTATCAAGAGTAGTAGCAATTTCACCAGATTTTTAATTCTGCATAATATAGATTACCTTCTGGTTCTTTTATATAGTTCATGATTTGTTACTTATGCCATATAAATCTTAAATGTTACTTTATTTCACATGAGGGAGCATATCAATTAAGCATTTTTGTATTATCTTTCAGTAGTTGTACAAAAGGTTTCAATTCCACAAAGCAATGTGGGAGTACAATGCATCTTGATCAATGTCCCCTCATTGTTTTCCCCCAATATTTTTTAAGTGGCAACTGCTCTTCTTCCTCGTGGGCGATCATTTTGAACTAGCCTTCCATTTGTGTTCTACATATTAGGATTTTTGTTTCAGAGGCAGGGAGAAAACTTTTTCACAAAAAGATGAAGGAAAATTCTTTTTTAAACAGAGGTTTGAATTTATTCCTAACAGTAGTTGATGGCTATAACCCTCAGTAATTGCTTTATAAATTACAATTTCTGTTTTAGAGGCAAATTTTCCACAAAAAGGGGAGATATCCTTTAATAAAAAAAAAAACAACATAAGAGGTTTAAATTTCTTCGTAGCAAATGGTTGATGGGTACAGCCATATCATGCTGTATATTGGTAAAAAAAAACAACAAACCGAGCTGCCCGCTAGAACATTTTTCCGTTTCTGTGGAGCTGTGATGGCGAACTATGTAAACCCTTCTTTTGTGCCCCAGCTGTCTCGAGCTGAACAGCGAATGAATAGACTGGATCAGTGCTATTGTGAGAGGACTTGTACCATGAAAGGAACCACCTACCGAGAATTCCAGTCCTGGACAGACGGCTGCAAGAACTGCACTTGCCTGGTATGGCTTCCATTTGTGTTCAGACCAAAAGAACTCAGATGCGCCCCTACTCTTTAAAAATTTATTAAAACAATGTCATCATGAAAATTTTAAGACCCATTTCCTCTAGACACAATGCTAAAGTGCCAGCCAACCTGGTCACATCTAAAGAACTGTGTATTGCATTATTAAAAACACTTTCGAGCTGTTAAAGATGATTATGGCTTTGAAATGCTATAAAGTTAAGTTTATTGGTACACACAGGAAGTTAGCAATTCAAATTAAGTTAGTATTGTGAATCCCAAAGGATTCTTTCTTTCAGCCCTTAACATTTGAAGGGATTTCCCTCTCATGTTTATATTAATGCATTTCAATGAGATGTGTGGAATTAATTATACACAACATTCACTATTGTGTCCATATTGAGCAATATACACAAGTATTCAAATAAGTAAAATAATCTCAAATAGTCTTCTAACACAATTGGAATATAAACCGTGCCCTTTAAACAAATAGGACTTTTAATTAACAAAGTAGAATATTTTAGTGCATTATTTTTGCAAAACTGTGGATTCATTTTCAAGAGACTGATTTTAGCTTTTAAATTCTTCAGAAACTCACCTGGTAAAATGCTGGCTTTCTATAAAGAAGTCAGAGATCTAGGTGAATTAGCCTTTTAAAAAAAAATGAAGGAAGTAAAAACCAAGTGCCCGTAATTCTAGCTACCTGGGAGGCTGAGGATTACAGTTCAAAGCCCATTTTGGAGAGGAAAGTTTATGAATGACTTTTAGCTAACTAGCAAATAAAACTGGAGGTGGAGCTGTGGCTCAAATGGTAGAGCACCAGCCTAGAGCAAAACATGCTAAGGCAGAGTGCTCTGAGTTCAAGCCCTGGTACTGGCAACCACATGCCCCCTGCTTCCCCCAAATTAAGAAAGTAATGCATTTCTAACCAAATTACAGCACTTTACATATATAGTAAAGCCTTCCCAAGATTAGTAAATAGTACCAAACATCGAATTGAGGGAAATACAGGGTGTGCTGTAGGTGTCAATGTAAATGGGAAGCTTGAGCGGCCAGCTGCCTGGGAGTTCCAGAGGACCCTTAAGGATTCAATTCCTGTAGGTCTGCCTGCATCGTGGGAATTACCATCACTGCCTTGCCTGGTGGGGACCCTGAGCAAGCTTAAATATCCATGGGATGACCGTCGTCTTGAGCCCGGGACTTCCAGACAGCAGTAGCCATTCCAGATACGTCCTCATTGGTTGCTGCTTATTTTTTTAATTTTTATCTTTTTGTCGGTTGTAGGCGCTATCCTTTAAGCTCTTCAGCTCACTTGAGCCACAGCTCCACTTCTGGTTTTCTGTTAGTTTATTGGAGAGAAGAGTCTCACAGACTCTCCTGCCTGGGCTGGCTTTGAACCATGATCTTCTAGTATCAGCCTCCTAAGGAGCTAGGATTACAGGCCTGAGCCACTGGTGCCCCGCTCGGTTTGATGCTTATGATGTGAGTTGTCAGGCACAGTTGGGTGCTCTAGGGCTAGCCTGAATCTTTCAATTCCTTGTCCAATGGCCTCTTTCCCTCCACCCATGTCTGTGTCTGCTTCCCATAGCAGGCGAGGACCGCGGTTTAGTTAGAATCCGTTGTGGGACAGAGGATGGGAACCAATCACCAGACTCTATGGTAGAACTCAATTTGTATTATCCTTGGTCTCCATGCTAGGAGTAATGCTGTAAAATAAAGAATCACGGGATTTACGGCATTTTATGTGAAGAGTTCAAAATGTAAGAGGTGCAGTTAAAATTCCCCCCAAACCATTAGATTCCCACTTGAACAGTTCTTCAACTATCGCTTGCTCTTTCAGAACGGAACCATCCAGTGTGAAACTCTGGTGTGCCCGGCTCCGGACTGTCCGCCCAAGTCGGCTCTTGCCTACGTGGATGGCAAGTGCTGTAAGGAATGCAAATGTGAGCATAACTCGAATGATGAACATAAAGCTCTGCATGTAGAAATACTTAACCCATTAATTTTGGCAAGCTAAATAGCTTTCAGACATGATAGAAAGGAAAAAAAAGGTATATTTTTGTTTTATCTGGGTCTGGCGGCCCATAGGCTACTTAGGAGGTTGAAGGCCAGCCTAGGGAAAAAGTTATCAAGATCCCAAAGAGGCTGAGCATGGTGGTATATGTCTGTAATCCCAGCTACTTGGTATGGAAGCAGAGGTAGGAAGGTCATGGTATGAAGTCAACGCTGGCAAAAGCCCAAGTGCTTGTCTGCAAAACAAACTAAAAAACCAAAAAGGCCTAGGGGCTCAAATGGTTGAGCTCAAGTGAGAGGTCCTGAGTTTAAACCTCAGTATTAATGAACTCAAGACCTGGGTACTATCCTTGAGGTTTTTTTTTTTGCTCAAGGGTATTGCTCTATCACTTTGAGCCACAGCACCACTTCTGGTTTTCTGGGGGTTAATTGGATTCAAGAGTCACACGCACTGAACTGGCTTTGACCCAAGATCCTCAGATCTCAGGCTCCTGAGTAGCTGGGATTACAGATGTGATTACAGCAGTTCTTTTACATATTAAAATGTTTTTTCCCCTTGTTTTTTTAGCAGGACATTTTTTTCTTTTGTTGTAGTGATGCTAGTTGAAGAAACTTACTGAAAGTCATTTTTCCTATTGCATAATAGAAATATCAAGTACATCGAGAGGAGTCCACATGTCACCACTGTATTAGAGAAATCATGATAATAGATACCTTCATTAGTAGCTGATACACTCTTAAATTGCATGAATAACTCAGGTCCACATTACCTAAGGAGTCATTTTGTGTTTATTGGTTCAGGATCTTGATCCAAAGAAAATAGCTGGTCCTTATCTATGAGGTGAGGAGGAGGCTTTTCTACCTATGACCTCAAATTGTTTGTATAGTTCACTTCTGGTGTCAGAAAACACTCTTAGAATCATATATAGCTGTCCTCACACAGTCCTAGGTCATTCATTCAGTAACAGAAAGCAGTTCATTCCTGAGACTTAGACTTCAAAACATACAACTTAATAGGGCACTGGTGGCTTATGCCTGAAGTCCTAGCTAATCAGGCGGCTGAGATCTGAAGATCCCTGTTGGAAGCCAGCTTAGATAGGAAAGTCCTTGAGATTCTTATCTCCAATTAATTACCAGGAAGTTGAAAGTAGAGCTCTGGCTCAAGTAGTAGAGCACTAGCTTTGAATGAAAAAGCTACGAAACACCACCCAGGTCCTGAGTTCAAGTCCCAGTACTGGCACAAAAGAAAAAAAAAAGGCTTCACTTAAATCCATGTTATAAAAGGGTCCTTTCATCCGGGTGTTGGTGACTCATGTCTATAATCCTAGCTTCTCAGGAAGCTGAGTTCTGAGGATTGCGGTTCAAAGCCAGCCCAGGCAGGAAAATCTGTGAGACTCTTCTCTCCAAGTAACCACCATAAAACCAGAAGTGGTACTGTGACTAAGTGGTAGAGTGCAACCCTTGATCTGAAGAGCTGAGGGGCAGTGCCCAGACCTAGAGTTCAAGCCCTATGACCACCACCACCACCACCACCACCACCAACACCAACACCAACAACAACAACAAAGAAAATAAAAGGAAAAAAAGGTCCCTTCAACCTTTTACTCATTTTAGTCAAAGGAGACAGTAAACACTGAGCTGTTATCAGGCTTGCAGAATATGTAGAGCACGTGTAAGTATGCATGTATTCATATGGACAGAACCATAAAGATAGGGAGGAGAGGTAAGAGAAAATGACAAAGGCAGAGGTGCACTGGAGGGGTGAGAGGGAGGAACAGGATGCCCACAAGTGCTCTGCTGGGGGTCAGGTTCGCCTCACCCCTTGGTGCCTGCACACCGAAGTGTAGCAACAGCGTGCGCATGTGCATGTGTTACCACTGCTGAGCGTGCCAAGTCATCAGAGGAAACTCAGGAAGTGGCTTCAGAGTCCATTGATTTGACTCCCTAAGGAACTCATTTATATTTAATTCTCTTAGGCTTTACACTGAAGCCAATCCATTTCAGGAAAGTATATTAGCTTAAGTCAAATAGACTCTGGGAAATAGGAAATGTGAAAACAATGGGTTTTGTACATTGCTAGCTAATTTCTTGGGTGAGAAATAGACTGAAGTTTTTTTTTTTCTTGGACTTTGCTTAATAACTGGAAACTTACGGTGATGATCTGTAGTTTTCTTTGTAGGTGTTTGGAGTAGGAGGCAGGAGAAATATATTTAGGTCCCATATTCATAATAAAATAGGAAGTCCTTTTTTGTGTCTTGAACTCTGTTTTTGTGGCTGTTTTTGTGTGGTTTATTTATTTACTTATTTGGTGCCAACACTGGAACTTGAACTCAGGGCCCGTGCACCTGTCCCTTAGCTTTTTTTTTTTTTTTTAACTCAAGGCTGGCATTCTGTTCATTTGAACCACAGCTTTCCTTCTGGCTTTTTGGTGTTAACTAGAGGACTTTCCTGCCTGTGCTGGCTTTGAATCAGGATCCTCAAATCTCAGCTTCCCAAGTAGCTAGGATTACAGGTGTGAGCCACCAACTCCTGGTTTCTTTTAACTTCTTTTATTCTTCTCCCTCCTTTATTCTGGTGAGTAAGACATATTTACATAAGTGATTACACTGTATTAGACACAGGCTGGGGAAATAGTGGACTGTCAGGAGTGATAGATGCATTTGTCACCAGGGGTGGATTTCGGTTCTGATTTTTCTGGTCTCTCACTTACCAATTGTAAACTGCCATTGAAATCATACTAATATTTGAAATCTCCCCAACAAGCCTGCACACCGATTTAACAAAATGGTAAAATATTTTGAGACTCATTAATGCAGAATGTTCCTAGACTTGGACGTTGATGATGGGAAACTGTGTTTGCTTCATACAAAATAGTGAAAGCTTGATTAATATGTAAGCAAACCATAACATTACTGGAAATAAGAGCCAAACTCATACATTTGACTGTCTCATTTTATGTGGCTAAGAAGTAATAAAGATGGAGCGTCTTGGTTGTTCTGTGCATGTCCAAGTATGTCAGATACAGTACCATGGAAAATAGTAGGTTTGTGAATGTTTGGTTATTCTGATGATTTGTTGGGAAATTCTAGATCTCCCTTCCTCCCTTCCTCCTTTCTTTCCTTCCTTCCCGAGGCAGGGTCTCACTGTAGAGCCCAAGCTGTTCTCCAATCCACTAGGTTCCCCAAGCTGATCTTGAACTCGTGACTCTCTTGCCTCAACATTCAGAATGCTGGGACTGTAGATTTGTGCCACTGTGCTTTTGAGCTTCTAGAGCTGAGAAAGGTAAAACCTATCATCTGACAATTCAGTGTTATGGTGCCACATTTAAAGTGAACAAAACAAGTTAAATGTCACCAGCCAGCTTTTGGTGTTTCTTAAGTCATGCTTTTAGACCTCTTCATCAGTTCTCTTTGACCCATTTTGTGCCAACTGTTTTGTAGCTAGTAGCTTCAACTTCAGCCTTGGTCTGCAAATAAATACCAGTGAACAGCAAGAAGTGTGTTATTCTGGAAAAGAGTCACTAAGAACTAAGCTTGTCCCCTTTATGTGAATATTCATGATCTGTTGGGCGGAACAAGAGTATTTCTTGTCTCTCCCTCAGAGTTGGGTTAAACGGAAAGGATCAAATATGAGGTCAGGAGTGCAAAGGGCAAATTAAAGAATGGTACTCCTGATTCAAGTGAAGTCATCTCACTTCTGCATGCTAGAAGGCCCATCCTGTCGTCTCAGTCTCTACAAGTGTACAGGTTAGGCACCTACTTGTCTTCCTAGTAAGAGCATGGTGGGACTTGTCCAGCACATAATTGGTGAGAGTTCCCAGCAGAGTTCTCTCTGGAAGTGCTGGGCTTTGTCCTCTTGTATCCTTCTTTAAAAACTGTCTGCCAAACCAGGCACTGATGCCTGAGACCTATAATCCTAGCTACTCAGGAGGCTGAGATCTGAGAGTGAGGTTTGAATTCAGTCAAGGCAGATAAGTCTGAGAGAGTCTTATCTCCAGCTAACCAGCAAGAAAACGGAAGTGTTGCTGTAGCTCTAGTGGTAGTGCATCAGACTTGAGTGAAAAAAGCCAAGCAAACTTGCAAGGTCATGAGTTCTAGCTTCTCCTACAGATAATCTAGGTCATCGATTTGTATTGACTGACAGCTAAGCTCACTGAAGCTGTTCTTTAGCCCAGCAATGAATTGTGCGTTAACCAGCATTTCATGTGTTATTATTATTTTCTCCTGCTAGCCACTGGCTTCACATTCTCTATTTCACTCTTAGGCTCTTCAGCTAGTAAACACTACAGGATTCAGTGGCACAATTTCAAGATGACCTCAGAAATTGTGAAGTATCAGTATTGTTAGTGACTTTAAATCTGAAATGGAAGGAGGTCAAGACAATTATATAAAACTTGACCTATGCTAAAAACACAAAGTATTTCTATAAATAATGGGATAAGTTCTAGGACACAGAAAATTACTGAATGTCCCAGAAATTAGGGGATATTTGGAAATATTCAGTGTTTTGACTTATTTTATTTCAGTGGATGGTAGATTCAAGCTTGTCTTCAGGCTCTCCTTAACAGAAAAAGGTGCTTTTGAAAATAGGAAGTCTGAGAAGCAAATTTGATGGATGTTAGAATTTTATTTTATTTTTTTTAGCAGAAAAGACTTTAGAAAAAGTGCAGATTTCCCCTCTGTTACTAGAGAGAAGAGATAGGAATGTTATTGTCAAAATTGGCTGGTGCTTTTTTTTTTTTTTTTTGTCAGTTGCAGCGCTTGATCTCTGGGCTTGGGCACTATCCCTCAACTCTTCAGCTCAAGGTGAGCACTCTACCGCTTGAGCCACAGTGCCACTTCTGGTTTTCTAGTGGTTTATTGGATATAAGAGTCTCACGGGGTGTGGGGAGAAGGGGGTGGGAAGGTGGCTCAGTGGTAGAGCGCTTGCC